GTTGTGAGATCACTTGATATAAAGAAAGATCCATTCTGACCTCATGAAAATGATGAAGAGCTTTTTGGTGCAGAAGTACCATATCTTAGTGCAATTGGGGCATTAATGTATCTTGCCAATAATTCCTGACCAGATANTAGATAATAGTAATTCACGAAATAAGTCAAGAATGCGTTTGGTTGAGATCGATAATTCAACACATTCAGCAAATATGTGGTCTTTCTTCGAAAGAGAATATTCCAACAATATTGCATGAAGATAATGCTGCTTGCATAGCTCAATTGAAAGAAGGATATATCAAAGGAGATAGAACAAAACACATTTCACCGAAATTTTTTCCACTCATTATCTTCAGAAGAATGGTGAAATAGATGTACAACAAGTTCGTTCAAGTGATAATTTGGCTGATCTGTTCACTAAGGCATTACCAACTTCAATATTTGAAAAGTTGATATATAAGATTGGAATGCATCGTCTTCGAAACATTAAGTGATTTTTCATCAGGGGGAGTAACTACACACTGCACTCTTTTCCTTAACCAAGGTTTTGTCCCACTGGGTTTTCCTGGTAAGGTTTTTAATGAGGCAGCAAGCAATGCATATTATAAATAACTATGTACATCCCAATATTTTTTTTTGTAAGTTCTTAATGAGGCACATTATCTTACATGGACATCCAAGGGGGAGTGTTATGAATAGTTTGTACATTGGATACTACATTGGATGCTACATTGGATGCTCATGTTGTGAATAACTTAAAGATTAATCCTACTTTATGTCCATCATCTTTACTTTTTATGCCTATAAAAGGCTATGTAATTGCAATGGAAAGACACACGCAATTGAAGAAGAAATCTCTTCCTTCTCTCTATCTCCATTTCTTGCTCATGTTTTACTAAATTGCTTTTATTTTCTTGTTCCATATTGTTACTTTGAGTTATATTTCATAACATATTTTTATATATGCAAACAAATTATATAAAAATATTATAGAAAGACTTCCGAAATCTGATGTAGATAAGAGAAAAGGTAATGCTGAAATGTTATACTCCCCCATCCATTTCCTCTTATTTGGTTTTTGCACGCACATTAAGAAAATAGTAATTAAAAAATAATTTAACTAAATTATAGTACTATTTATTATTTAATCTCAATTTATTACTCTATATTTCTTTCACTGTATTATTTTCTCTCTACATTTATTAGAATAAAGGTAAAGGTGGAAGAAATTAATTAATTGTTTCTTGATTTTTTGAAATGACAAGAATTTTAGATCAATTATTTTTGGTAATCATGACAACTATAATGGACAGAAGGAGTATCATAAAGGAAGTCGAGTTTAACTATAATTGCTATGAAGAATTTGAGGAAAGGCTCGTAGTAAATTAGACTCTTTTACAAGATTATATGATGTTGGAGGACTTAAAAAGATTTCCACGTTTATAGAGTAAAGATGATAGTTTTGATAAGTGAGAAAGGAGAACCATTCTAGCGTTTGGGCAAGTTCCGAACGATGAGAGTAGCAGTGAAGAGTTGGAATCAAGGAGCACAAGATAGAAGTGAGATAAGCTGTCCAATCACTACTATGATAAGCAAATATAGAGCACCAGACAAAAAGTTTATTCATACTGAAAAATATTCGCAAGCTGATCATTCGTGATACCTGGCCAGGTGCCACGAATAAACCATAAAAGAGAAAAGAAAACGAATCAGTACTTGATCCATTGTGATGAACAAAAATGCAACCACCAGCATTTGTCTTTCACGGAGCAGAGGATGTTTTTCAATTCAGTCAATGCATTCTCAACTGACGCCTCACTTCAAATCTGCAGTACGATCAATGTGCATAGGTTCAAGTTTGCAGCCTCACATGAAAACTGCAGTGTAGTATAGAAAACACACACACTACATGGTTTCCAATCCAACCATTGAAACAGTACTTCTGAATACAGTACCTGGGGGGGGGGGGCAGACATCCTCGGTTTTTGATCGAGGTCCTCGATCCTGGCCCTCGATCTTGGCCCTCGATCTTGGCCCTCGATCCTGG